TATTACTATTACTATTACTACTACTACTACTACTACTACTACTACTACTACTACTACTACTACTACTATCACTACTACTACTAATACTACCACTAGTACTACTACTGCTACTACTACCACTACTACTACTGCTACTACGACTACTACCACTACTGCTATTACTGCCCAGAGTGAGGTGGCCACACGGTCATTCACTGTCCTCGGGGGCGTGGGTGAAGTGGGTTCCCACAGTGCGGAGTGTTACTGGTGTTGTTGTCGTTGTTTGTTGTTGGTTGTTTGTTGTTCGTGTTTAATGTCCCGCCCGCGACCCGGCCCGCGACCCGCCCGTGAGCCAACTGCGACCCACCAGCAACCCACCCGCGACCCAGCCCGCGACCCGCCCGAGATTTGCCCGCGACCCACCCGCCACCCACCCCGTTCCCGCCACCTCGTTCTTATCCACAACTGTGGGGTGTTACATAATTATACGGCGACGACGACCACTATTATTACGGCTACGATTATACATTTAAAACTATTGCTACGACTTCTACCACTACCACTACCACGAGTACTACTACTACTACTACTACTACTACTACTACTACTACGACTACTACGACTACGACCACTACTACTTCTAGTAGTAGTAGTAGTAGTAGTAGTACTACTACTACTACTACTACTAACTACTACTACTACTACTAGTACTACTACCTACTACACTATACTACTACTTATTACTACTTACTACTACTACTACTACTACTACTACTACTACTACTACTACTACTACTACTACTACTACTACTACTACTACTACTACTACTACTACTACTACTACTTCGCCTACGACTACTACTACTACTACTACTACTACTACTACTATTTTTTCGTCTACTACTACTACTACTACTACTACTACTACGACTACTTCTACCACGGCTCCTAATACGACGACGACGACTACCACTACTAGTGCCATGGCCTCTACTATGACTACTACTACTAGTACTACTAGTACGACTACGTCTACTACTACTATTGCTACTACTATTACTACTACTACTACTACCACCACTACTACTACTGCTACTACTACTACTACTACTACTACTACTACTACGACTACGACCACTACTATTACTAGTACTACTACTAGTACCACTATTACTACCACGACTACTATTACTATTATTTAAACTAGTACTACTACGATCATGAATACCATCACTACTACCACCACTACTTCCACACCTGTTTTCAAATATTTCCATTGCCACGAAAACTACAAGTCATTTTACAACTAAGTGTACCACGACTACTACCACCACGACTACTATTTCGGCGACTTCTCCTGCTAGTACTACGATTACTAATACCACTATTGCTACTACGAGGGCTACTACTAGTACTACCACTAGTACTACTACTACTACTATTATTACTACCACTACTACTACTACTACTACTACTACTACTACTACTACTACTACTACTACTACTACTACGACTACTGCTGCTACTTGTGCTATCGCGATGTACGGCTACCACTACTAATATTATTACTACTACTACTACGACTACGACTACTACTACTTCTTTTACTATTACTACTACTACTACTACTACTACTACTACTACTATCTATATATCTATATATCTATTTATCTATCTATCTATCTATCCATCTATCCATCTTTCTACCGATCACTTCTTGTACTACTACTACTACTACTACTACTACTACTACTACTACTACTACTACTACCACGATTGCTGAGACCACAACCAATTTTACCACTACTACGACTACTGCTCATACGACTACGACGACTAATACTATTACTACTTCTGTTACTAGTGGTGGTACTAATGTCACCACTACTACTATTCTTACTACCACGGCTACTACTACTGCTGCTGCTACTACTACTACTACTACTCCTATTACTTCTGCTACTTACTTCTGCTATTACTAGGACTACACATCTTCCTCATCCTCCGGTTACTACTTGTACGGCTACTACTACTACTACTACTACTACTACTACTACTACTACCACCACCACCACTACTACTACTACTACTACTACTACTACTACTACTACTAGTATCAGTATCACGACTACCACTCCTACTATTACTACTATTACTACTACTACTACCACTACCAGTATTCTCACCACTATTATTAGCATAAAACAACTACTACTACTACTATCATTACTATTATTGCGACTACTACTACTACTACTACTACTACTACTACGGCTACTACTACTACTACTACTACCACTACTACAACGACGACTACTACTACTACTTCTATTACTACTATTACTACTACGACTACTATTGCTACTTCTATTACTACTACTACTACTACTACTACTACTACTACTACTACTACTAGTACTACTACTGCTAACTACTACTACTACTACTACTACTACTATTACTAGTACTACAACTACTACTACTACTACTACTACGACTACTACTACTACTACTACTACGC